TGATTGCATGATAGGACAGGGGGTATAGCTGAGTCTCTAGGCAATCACTGTGTATGGCATCAGAGGCTCAGAAGTTGCTGACAGACTGGGGAGGGTCACTATAGAGGGTTCCTTGCTCACACTGAGGACCACGCAGATCCTTTGTGCAGTTCATGCACCAGCATGGATGGGGGCTGTAGTCACTGTGGGCTAACTCTGGTAATCGATCACATGGGAGAGATGAGGAAGGCTGTGATTACACCAACTGGTATAATCACACCCTCTCCCCTGCTGACAACTAAGGAGATCTGCCATGCCCAACTTGGGTGTCACCCTGCATTCTCCACCTACCCTGGAGCACTTATCAGAGCTTCCTGGCCACACCCAGCACATGCCACTGAGCATTCATTGAAAGAGTAGACACATCACTAAGCCACAGAGCCTTAGTTCAAAGATAAAATCCATCAGAGGAAAAAACCAATAAGAATATTCATAATGCCTAAAAATAAATGCATAAATTCAAGAAACAAGAATAAGGAAGAAAACACAATAGCACTTCAATATTAGAATGTGAAGATGATGAGATTGATGAAATTCATGAAAAGGAATTCAAAAGAATGAACAAAGGATTACTCAAAAGCAATGAGAAGCAAATTCATGAGTTAAAGATATCCATATATAACATAGGTGAAAAATTTTTGCAAGACATTGAGTTTTCAAAGAAAAAACTGAAATATTAGAAATTAATAATTCAATATGTCAAAGAGAAGATAAAAAGAAAGCCTTAACAACAAATTCAGTGAAGCAAAAGAATCTGAGCAAGAAGACAAATGTTTGGAAACATTTCAAAACCAAAAAAAAAAAAAAAAGAGGAAATTAGAAAAATTAAACAATATTCAGGATTTATGGGATATTATCAAATGATACAACATATGGGTCTTAGGATATCCTAAAGATATGCAAAGAGAGAATGGACTAAAAGGCTTATTCAGTGAAATAACTACAGAAAAATTCCCTAATTTGGAGAAAGAAAAGGGCATTCAAGTACAGGAAGCTCACAGAACTCCTAATAGACATGACCAGAAAAGATCTTCACCATGACACATTGTAGTCAAACTTCCAAGAGTAAAACATAAAGAAAAGATTCTGGGGCAGGCGCCGTGGCTCACTTGGCTAATCCTCTGCCTGTGGCGCCGGCATCCCATATGGGCACCAGGTTCTAGTCTCAGTTGCTCCTCTTCCAGTACAGCTCTCTGCTGTGGCCCAGAAGGCAGTGGAGGATGGCCCAAGTGCTTGGGCCCTGCACCCGCATCAGAGACCAGGAAGAAGCACCTGCTCTTGGCTTCAGATCAGCGCAGGGCGCCAGCCACAGCGCATCGGTCACAGCGGCCATTGGGGGGTGAACCAATGGAAAAAAAAGGAAAACCTTTCAATCTGTCTCTCTCACTGTCTAACTCTGTCAAATAAATTTTAAAAAATTTAAAAAGAAAAGAAAAGATTCTAAAGTGTGCATGAGAAAAATGCCAGAATACTTTCAGAGGATCGCCAAATAGACTCACAGCTGCCTTCTCGTCAGAAACTCTACAAGCTATGAGAGAATGAAGAGACATAGTCTAAGTCTTACAAGGAAAAAAATATAGCCAACACAGAAAATGAGCAGGCATAGCCATCCTAATATCAGACAATATAGACATTAACACAAAAACTATTAAGAGAGAAAAAGGGCATTATGTAATGATTAAGGGATAAATTCAATAGGAAAATGTGACTATAATAAATATATATGCACCCAACACCAGGGTACCTGTCGATTTAAAACAAATGTTCATGGATCTAAAGGGAGACAGATTCCAATAAAATAGTAATAAAGAAATTCAAAATTCTACTTTCATCAGTGGACAGATAAACAAGAAAAAAAAATCAACAAAGCAGACAGCTAATCTACACTATGGACCAAATGGACTTAACTTGTATCTATAGAAAATTTCATCACGCAGTTGTAGAATACACATTCTTTTCATCAGTGCACAGAACTTTCTCTAGGATAGCCCACATGCTAGGCCATAAAGCAAGGCTAAGTAAATTAAAAAAATGAGTTGAAATCATTCCACAATCTTTTCTGACCACAATGGAATTAAGTTGGAAATTAACCAACCAAGAATCTTTAGAAAATAAGCAAACACATCGAGACTGAACAACACACTCCTAACTGAACAGTGGATCATCAAGGAAATTAAAATGGAAATAAAAAATTCCTGGAAATGAATTAAGATGACAACACAACATGTCAAAACTTATGGGATACGGCAAAAGCAGTGTTAAAAGGAAAGTTTCCAGAAATTGGTGCCTACATTAAGAAACTGGAAAAGCATCAAATAAATGAGCTATCAATGTATCTCAAGGAACTAGAAAAAAAAAAAAGCCAAACCCAAAATGAGGAGGAAGAAATAATTAAAATTAGAGAATAAACAAAATTGAAACAAAAAATATAAAAGATCAGTGAAATGCAGAGCTGAAACAAAAAAGAGAGGGATAAGATACAAATCAATAGAATTAGAGATGAAAAAAGAAAAGTAACAACTGATACCACAGACATAAAAATAATCATCAGCAATTACTACAAAGAGCTGTATGCCAACAAATTACAAAACCTAGAAGTAAACCTGGACACATACAATCTACCAAAATTGAGTAATGATGACACAGAAAACAAAAACAGACCAACAACAAAGATGGAGATTGATTCAGTAAGAAAGACCCTTCCAACAAAGAAAATCCAGGACTGGATGGCTTCATTGCTGAATTCTATCAGATTTTTTTAAAAATATTTTATTTATTTATTTGAGAGGCAGAGTTACAGATAGAAGTGTCTTCCATTGTTGGTCTACTCCCCAAATGGCTGTAATGGCTGGTGCTGGGACAATCAGGAGCAAGGAGCTTCTTCTGGCTATCCTATCTGGGTGCAGGGGCCCAAGCACCTGGGTCATCTTCCACTGCTTTCCCAGGAAAGAGAGCTGCATCTGCAGTGGAACAGCCAGGACTCAAACCAGTGCCTATATGGAATGCCAGTCCTGCAGGTAGAGGCCCAAACCACTATACCACAGTGCTGCCCTCTGCCAGACTTTTTCAAGAAGAACTAATTCCAACTCTTCTCCATCTATTCAAAACAAATGAAAGGGGAAGGATCCTCCCAAACTGTTTTTCTATAAGGCCAGCAACACCTTAATTCCTGTACCAGAAAAAGATGCAACAAGGAAAAAGAACTATAGACCAATATCACTAATCAACACATATGCAAAAATCCTCAACAAAATACTAGCTAATTGAGTGCAACAACACATCAGAAAATTCACCCAAACCAAGTAGAATTTATCCCTGACATACAGGGATGGTTCAATATTTGGAAATCAATAAATGTCATACATCACATTAATAATTTGAAGAATACAAACCACATAATTATCTCAATAGATGCAGAGAAAGCATCTGATAATATACAACATCATTTCATGATAAAAACCTTAAGCAAACTGGGTAAAGAAGGAACATTCTTCAACCCCATCAAGGCAATTTATGACAAACATCTAGCCAGAATCTTACTGAATGGGGAAAAGTTAGAAGCATTTCCACTAAGATCTGGTAAAAAGACAAGGACGCCCACTTTTACAACTGCTATTTAATACAGTCCTAGAAGTTTTAGCCTGAGTCATTAGGCAAGAAAAAAAAATAAAAGGGATGCAAATTGGATAGAAGGAAGTCAAATTATCCCTATTTGCAGATGACATGATTGTATATATAGGGGATCCAAAAGACTCCATTAAGAGACTATTTGAGTGTTCCAAAATGGTGGAATAGTGACAGGATGGTTTGTCTTACACAGGAAAAATTAGCATTAAAAAAAGAGAGAGTACATTCTCAGGATAAAAATGCAGGACAGCCTGGTAGGAGACAACCCTCAGAGTAGTGGAAGTGGTCTGGACCCTGCTGAGAGAGAGAGTGAGAGAGAAAAAAAAAAAATCTGCTGATCTGGATTAAGGGAGGACGATACCTAACCTGGCAAGCCAGGTGAGAGGCGACTCCATAGGCCCACAGTGCTGCTGATACATCAGGAGGGAAAGCTTAGTGAACTGCTACTGGAGTTCCTTGCAGATATCCCACAAGCAGGGTGAAAAACAGAGACAAAAAAAAAGGCAGAGGTACATCTGTCCCTCCACCCCCATCACCACTGTAGTGGAAACTGTGGACAGCAGGGGGAGAGCTGACACTACTGTTGGACACAGGCAGGAGGCAGCCACCCCTACACTGGTAGCCTGGCAACATGAGGTGAGGGAAAAAAGTGGCATAAGCGAGACTGCTATTTGCCCTGCAACCACAGATATAGTCAGAGAGAAAAAAAATGCCAAGAAACAAAGGCAAAAATCAAAAATAAGGAAGACTTCCTGAGCCCCTCAAAGGAACACTACAACATTTCAACATTAGAATATGAAGAGATGGAGGAAATGCCAGAAATGGAATTCAAAAAACGAATCGTCGGATTACTTAGAAGCAAGTGTTGGAAAATGCCAAAAAATTGAAATCATACCATGTACATTCTCAGAACACGATGGAATGAAGTTGGAAAACAACAACTTAGGAGTCTCAAGAACATATACAAATACATGGAGATTGAACAACATGCTCCTGAATGCACAGTGGGTCATAGAAGAAATCAAAAGAGATATCAAAAACTTTCTGGAAACAAATGAAGATGACAACACAACATACCAAAACCTATAGGGTACAGCAAAAGCAGTGTTAAAAGGAAAGTTTATAGCAATTGGGGTATACATTAAAAATTTAGAAAGGCACCAAATAAATGAGCTAACGATTCATCTGAAGGACCTAGAAAAACAACAAATCAAACTCAAAACTAGGAGAAAAGAAATAATTAAAATTAAAGAAATCAACAAAACAAACAAATACAAAAGATCAGGAAAATAAAAAGCTGGTTCTTTGAACAAATAAAGGAAATAGACACACCATTGACCCAAGTAACCAAAAAAAAGGAGAGATAAGACACAAATTAATAAAATTAGAGATAAAAAAGGTAATGTAACACACCATAGAAATACTAAAATCATCAGAAATTACTACAAAGAGCTGTATGCCAAAAAACTGGGAAACCTAGCAGAAATGGATAGATTCCTGGACACAGACAACCTACTTAAATTGAGCCATGAGAATAGAGAAAACCTAAGCAGACCCATAACCAAGACAGAAATTCAGTCAGTAATAAAGACCCTCCCAACAAAGAAAAGCCCAGAACCGGATGGCTTCACTGCTGAATTCTACCAGACATTTAAAGAATTAACCCCAATTCTTCTCAAGCTACTCAAGACAATTGAAGGGGAGGGAATCCTCCTAAATTCTTTCTATGAATCCAGTATCACATTAATTCCCAAACCTGAAAAAAGTTACAACTGAGAAAGAGAACTACAGACCAATTTCCCTGATGAACCTAGAAGCAAAAATTCTCGACAAAAATCCAGTCAATCGAATCCAACAAAGACATCAGAAAGATCATTCACCCAGACCAACTGGGATTTATCTCTGGGATACAGGGATGGTTCAACATGTGCAAATCAATCAATGTGATATATCACATTAACAAATTGAAGAACAAAAACCATATGATTATCTTAATAGATGCAGAGAAAGCAATTGACAAAATACACCACCCTTTCATGAAAACTCTAAGCAAGTTGGGTATAGAAGAAACATTCTATAATCTTATGAGTATAAAATAGACTGAGAATAGATCATTGTAAAAATTAAAGGAATTGGAAAGGAAGGAAGACGGAGGGTGGCAGTATGAGCAGGAGAGAGGGTAGGATGGGAAGTATTAACAGGCTCCTAAGTCTGCATACATGAAATACATAAAGCTTGTTCACCTTAAAATTTTTAAAATTTCCCAACATGAAATCTATCCCTAAACAACCAAGGATCCTGGGAATTTAACCATGTCAATGCAATCATTTTGACATTAACTGAAGAAATACAGGTGCACTTTAAAGATTTATTTTTAAGAAAAACAAAAGGCAGAAGGAGCCAAATCCGGATGATAAAGTAGATACCTAATGACTTCCCATCAAAATTCATGCAAAACTGCCCATCTAAGATGAAAAATGAGCTGTAATATGTCGCTCCTCCTCGGGCTTGCAGGAGAACGACACCGGACCTGTTTTCTTTCCCAGGTCCTTCCCGGATTTGCTGCTGCTCCCCCGCCTCCGTGGAGGAGCGGCACCAACGAGCTCTCCAACCGACTCTCTCAGGGGGCCCTGCATGTTGTCTCTCTCCCCCTTTTATAGTCCTCTCCCACCAATCCGTGCTCCACTGCCCGCGTGCTTAGCACGCCGCTTTCTTCCAGAGGTTGGATCAGGAATCAGCTAATTGAGGAAGCAGCTGTGTAAGATTTGTTTACTCCCTCTCAGCGCCATATGGTGGGAGATCAGACGCATAGAGTTAGTTTCAGTCCACAGTCTCAGTACTTATTTGTCTCCCGGACACCACGCCATGTTGCGGGAGACGGACCCTGTTCCCCACAGTAATAGTGTCATGGTGGAAAGACCTCTGAAGGAGCTTTCCTTGTCATTTTCCTGCTAAGCTCTGGCTAGCTTTCCCAAAATGCTCTCAGAATATGCAGGGTTATCATTCATTGGTCCTCCAAGAAGTCAACAAGCAATACACCTTAAGCATCTCAAAATCTGTTGCCATGGCCTTGGATCTTAATGAATCCGCTTTGGCAGGATTTTTCTCTTGGAAGCCATTGTTTTATTTGTACTTTGTCTTAAAAATTGTACTGATGAAGCCACATTTCATCTCCTGTTATAACTGTTGGAAAAAACACTTCAGGATCATGACTCCGTGTGTTTAAGATTTTCATTGAAAACTCTGCTCATCTCCAGCTGATAAGAGAACAATTTTGGCACTCTGCAGAACATAGCATACTAATTTTTCAGTGAAAATTATGTCCTCTGAACCAGTTAAGATGTCTCTGGTGTTCACTACTGTTTCTGCTGTTAATTGTTTATTATATTCAATTAAGGCATGAGCAAGATATACTTCTTCCTCATAAATATAGATGTCTGTCACTATGGGCTTAATCTTCAACACTGTATCACCTCTGTTTTAAATTTTGGACTAACATGTAATCCGTGTATTTTTTGCAACATACAGTACAATATCTCAACATATATACAAAGCACAAACCCATCACACCAAGCAATTAGGATTTCCATTTCATTTTCTTTATATTTGGAGCTAATTCTTCTCTTCTACTTTATACAGAATTTATCATCATGAACCCACTCTTCTGCAGAACAGCAGAACCCACTTTCATCAGGATATTTTGGTACCCATTATTCAAGCTACCTCACCCTTCTCAGCCTCTAGGAATTACTATTCTTTAATGGAAAATGTACATGTATACACAGATTTGTATGTTCTAACACCCACATGTGAGACGACATGCAATATTTATCTGTGTCTGGTATATTTCTTCACTTAAAATTACAATCTCCAGTTCAATCCATTTCGTTCCAAATGTCAGGATTCCATTTGTATGGCTCAAAAATACTCTATGTACCACATTTTCTTTATCCATGCATCCATAAACATACATCAAGATTGATTTAATATTGTGGTTTAACTATTGGGAATAGTGCTGCAATAAACATGGGAGTGCAGCTACTTTTTCATAAGCCAATTACAGATCTTTTGGATAGATATCCAGAAATGGGATAGTTGGGTCACAAGGTAGCGCTGTTTTTTTGAGCAACATTCATACTGTTCTCCATAACAGCTATACGAATTTGCCTTCCCAACAACAGGACATCATGGTATTCTTTTGTCCATGCCCTTGTAAGTATTTACTATTTTTGGCGTTTTCTATACTTGGCCACTCTAATGGGAATGAGATTCTTCACTGTGGTTTTGACAGACATTCCCTTCATGGACAGAAATGCTGAGTACTTTTTATTCACTCATTGGTTGGCAATTTTTTTCTTTTGAAAAATGTCTATTCAGATCCTATTCTACTTCTTAGCTGGACTGTTTAATTCCTTGTATATTCTGGACATTAATGCTTTATCAGATGAATAGTTTGCAAATATTTTCTGTCATTTTTTTCAGCTGTCTTCTCTTGCTGTTTCCTTTGCTGTGCAGAAGCATCTCAGTTTGATGCAATCCTATTTTGCATTTGTTATCTGGGATTCTTATCCAAAAAGGCATTGTCTATGCCAATGTGCTTAAAGCTTCTATTTTCTTCCATTGCATGGTTTCAGGTATTATGGCTAGATCTTGGATCCATCTGGATGTGACTTTTTAATGCGAAGTTGGGGGAAGTTAGTGAGGAGGCCTCAATTCAGTCTTCTGACCATGGATATCCAGTTTTGTCAATGCCTTTTGGTTCTGATGAATGGATTCATTTCTGAGATACTGGGTTCCACTGGTCTATTTTGTTTGTATGCAAACCTGTAAATTATGTTGGGTAGTATGGATATTTTATTATACCAAGATATGAAATTGGAAAGCCTTTCCATTGTTTGTATTCAATTTCTTTCACTACTGTTTGGTAATTTTCACTGTACACGTTTTTCATACTCTCACTTATATTTATTCCATGGTAGCGTTTGTAGCTATCGTGAATAGGACTCCTCTTCCAGATGCTTTTCAGCAAGTTCATTACTGCTATATAAAAATGCTGGTTTTTGCATGTTGATTTTATATCCTGTAACTTTACTCAATTATACATCCGCCCTAATAGTCTTTTGGTAGAATCTTTCAATTTCTATATGTATATATAATACATTGTCATCTAAAAAAAGGAAAAAAATATTTCCAATTCATATTCCTTTTATTTCTATCTCTGGTCCAATGGCTCTAAAACTTTAGCATCATAATAAGAGCAATCAGAGTGCACACCCTTGTCTGGTTCTACATCTTAAAGGAAATGTTTTCAGCTTCTTCCCATTCAATAAGATGTTGGTTGTGGATCTGTCATATACAGCCTTTATTATGTTAAGGGATGTCACTTCTACACACAATTTGTTTAAGGTTTTTATCATAAATCAATACTGTTTTATCTAATCATTTTTCTGCATCTAATGAAATGTTTTTATTCTTCATTCTATTCATGTATTCTGTTTACTGATTTGTATATGCTTTACCACCATTCCTGCATCTCCAGGAAAAATATCACTTGGCCAGGGTGAACAATGTGTTGTTGAATTTTATTTGCTACTATTCTGCTCTGAACTTTTTTTAACTATGTTCATCAAAGGTTAGGGAAGCAACAAAATGCTGGTTTCAAGGAATGAGTTTTTTAGGGTTCTAATTTTTTCAGTTTTTTTTGGAATAGTATAACAACTGGAACTCATTCTTCTGTAAATGTAGGTTAAATGCAGTGGTAAACTCAGGTGGCTGTGAGCTTTTGTTAGATTTTTATTATAGATTTAATAAAATTCTTGGTTTAGGTTTCTATACATTTAGTTCAATTTTGGTAAGCTATATGTAGCAAAGAATTATCTTCTAGATTTTTCAACTCCTTGGTATATAATTCCTAAGTCCTTAATAATGTTTTATATATCCAAGGTTCCTTTGTAATATCCCCCTTTTCATCTGTAATTTGCCTTTTCTTAGTTGGTCTAGCTAAAGCTTGATTTTTTTCAAAATTCTAACTAATTAGTTTCTAATTCATTTGATTCTACACTGATATTATTTCTCCTCCCCCCACTCCCATTTTCAGTTTTGGTCTTGTTTAAGAGCTTAAAGTATACTGTTGGGTTTGTGTTTTTTTTTAACGTAGGCATTTATCACTATAAACTTCCCTCTTAGAACTTTTGTTCCATCGCCTGAGTTTTGATTTGTTGTGTTTCCATTTGTCTTAAGGAATTTTAAAACTTTTAATTTCTTCAATGACCCATTCATTCAGGAGCATGTAGTTCAGTCTCCATTTATTTGCATAATTTCTAGTTTTTCACTATTAATTTCCTGTTTTATTACAATGGCATTGTGAAAGCTACATAATTTTAGCTTTTATTTGTTGAGACTTTTTTGTGACCTAGTGTGTGCTCTGTCCTCAAAATTGTTCCATGTGTGGATGAAGAGAATGTATATGATATTGGATGGAATGTTCTGGAAAAGCCAGGTCCATTTTGTTTAGTGTAGGTTAACTCTAATTTTTTTTTTTTTTTTTTTTACTCTGCATCTTTCTGTTGATGAAGGTGGAGTGAAGGCTCCTCATTGTTACCACTTTAGAGTTAAAACTTTGCTTTATAAAATTGGGCTCTCTGGCATCAGATGCATATACATTTACAATCATACGTATTTGTTGAACTGATACCCTGACCATGATACAGCAACTTTTTCTCTTTGTCCAAGTTTTGCCTTAAAGTCTATTTCATACAAGTATAGCAACTCCCACTTTGTTTCCCCTGCATGGAATATTATTTTCCATCCTTTGACTTTGAGTCTGTGTGTCTTTGCTTGTGAAGCCACCTTCTTGTAGGAAGGACATCATTGGGTCTTTTTTTTAATCCATTTATACTTTTATAGTTGGTGAATTTAGTCTATTTACTTTCAAAGTTATTGATAAATAATGGCTCAGTATGGTCTTTTCAATTTTTGTTTATCCAGAACACCTTTTGTTACCTTTCTAACAGGTTTCAAACTTGTAAATATTTTCATGTTGAAAGTTCTGTTTGTTTCTGTATGTAGAACACCCTTAAGCATCTTTTATAAGGCTAGTTTTTGTGGCTATAAGTTCTTCTAGTTTCTGCTCATTTTAGAAAGTATTTCTTCATTTAGGAAAGATAGCTGTTCTGAATAAAGTCTGGGTCAGTAGTTTTTTTCTTTCAGAACCAGGAGTGCATCATCCCATCCCCTCTTGGCCTGTAATGCTTCTGTTCAAAAATTAACACTAATGGAGGGTTTTTGTTATTTAAGACTTATTTGACAGTCGGTTACATAACAGGAGGGAGGGAAAGAGATCTTCCATCTGCTAGTTCACTCCCCAGATGGCTGCAATGGCCGGGGCTGGGCCAGGCTGAAGCCAGGAGCTTCATTTGATCTCCCACGAGGGTGCAGTGGCATAAGCACTTGGGCCATCTTTTGCAGTTTATCCAGGCACGTTAGCAGGGAGCTGGCTCAGAATAATGGCAGCCAGGACATGAACAGGCACCCAATCGGGATGTTGGCATGGGAAGCAACATGTTAGGTCACAAAGCCAGCCCCAGCAGAGTTTCTCTTCAAAGTGATCTCACTCTTTCCTCTTGCAAATTTCAGAATTCCTGTGTTGTACTTTTGGGAATTTGAACAGTCCATGTGAGATTCTTTTCCTATCATGTCTATTGGGCAGCCTATGGGACCCTCTAAACTTAGAGGTCCACTCATTTCTTCAGATTGGGGAAATTTTCAACTATTATTTCACTGAATAGGTTTTTCTAAGCCTCTAGGCTTTCCCTCTTAAGATTTTGAACTCAACTTTTCATTTGACCTAATGAGTTCTTCATGTCTAAAATTTGTTTGATTCATTAAGATCCCTCTTTGCTGAATTTCTTATTCACATTATGCATTAATTTCAAAATCTCATTCATCTGTTTGTATTGTCATGTAGCTCTGATTATAATCACTCATTTGGTTTCTTAGGCATTTCATCCAGTCTTTGTAGTCTGATATTAAAATGTTGCTGTGTTCCTTTAAGGGAGTTATATTGCCTTGCTTTTTCATATTTCTCAAGTCCCTACATTGATGTTTGTGCATCTGGCAGATTTATTGTTTCTATTGCTTTTAAAAGGTTGGTTTCATGAACCAAATGCCTGTCCCTGAATGTGTGCCTTTGGGTGTTAATTGGCAAGGCTGTTTTGGATCTAGTTCCACTTGCATGCCACAGTGCAGTCTCCCTATATCTTCCTTCACTGTATTCAATGGTGGAGGTAGGTAGGAATCTAGGGATTTGGGGCTCTTCTAGGGCCCACATTTGTTTGGATCCCTAACATAAGGTCCCCCACCTACCTGCTGAGGGACAGAGTGGCATCACAGGTGTTGCCCTGGTGCTGGGAGCAGGCCCTGGTAGCACCGCAAGTAGGCCAGGCATGTAGATACCAGCTCAGGAGCTAGAGCTGACAGAGCAGAATTGGCACTGGTAGTTGGCTGGGTTCACAGGCCCCCTCGCTACTGCCCAAGGGAGAAGCCAGAGGCTCAGGAGCATTCAGACAGGCACTGCTGGTGCCTGCTCTACTGGCTTAAGGGTCAGAGCTATGGGAGTTACGCTGACACCTTAGGTAGGGCACACTAGCCTAAGGGCGTGCATATCCTGAACTACTGTCCATGTGAAGACCAAAGCCAGAAGGGTGGCAGTGGTGCTGCAAGCAGGAAGAGGTAAAATGCAGTTCTGAGCAGCAGTATGCAGATCAGGCTAGGGTCACAGGAACCCTGACATGCAATACTGATGAGCAAAGTTCCCAATGGCACAGAGTAATGACTCAGGTGGCAGAGTGAAAAGTAATGAGGGGTATAGGGGCCCCATGTCTGAGAGGGCAGGCAGGCACCCCTACTTCTAGGGTTTTAAGGGCAGGACCCCTGCTGTTCTGCATCCCATGTCCCCTGTAGTGCAGAGCACTGTATGGGCTAGTGTGCTAGGGTCACCAGTGCTCTGCTGGTTCCATCTGGATACATGAGACTGCAGTCTTTTTTTTCCATTAGTGTGGTAGAATGTCAAGGACAGGGATATTCAAGGGCATCTTCCTCCCAGGGCAGTGACTCCTCTCTCAGGCTGGTACACACTGGAAGACAATAGCAATTCTTCTCTGAATGAAAGTGTGAGATCCCCACACAGCTCTTCCTACTGGGCGTTTACACTATGGTGATCGTGGCTTCCTCCCTTGGCTAGGAGGGCCCACTCAAGGTGTTCATACTGATGTGCTCCACTGAGGCTCTGCCCTTTACCCTTGTCCCTGCAATAGGGAATTCCCAGCCACTGGGCCAGGGTCTTAGTCGTCGGTTGGCTTTGTTCCTCTGTCCATGCTGCCATCTCAGCTCTCTGGGTCCTACTATGTCCTGCTGGTCTCTTACTGAGTTCAGGTGCTCTTCTTCAAGCACTCACCTTGAAACGAAGCTACTTATTTGTTGCTTTGGTTCATCTCTGTGGAAGAGGAGAGGATGCTGGGCACCTGTGTTGAGCCATCTTCCATGCCATCCCTTCTTCAAAGAAGTGATTTGTAAACTGCTGCTCTGGGCCTTGTCCTCACCAACACTTCCTAAAGCATCAGTGATTCCATTCTTCCACCCAAGCTTCACCATAAAGTTGATGTTTGTTCTTCCTTGACTTTTAGCAGTATTCATGTTGCTCTCATAAAGGCTGTTTTCAAACTGATGTCTTATCCTTCTTAGTTCCTCAAACTAGACCCTGTTCAGACATATTATAAGTTAATAGGAGTTTATCATTTTGATGGAAAAAAATCTGAAATCCATGCAAAGTGTTTTCATAACACACAGTTTCCATGTACCTTTTGAAGATCTCTCAAAAGTGCAGTCAAAATTTTTAAACAAAAACAAAGTCTATGTAAGATTCTGCCTTTGGTCTGTTCCCATTTAGCTTTGGACATAGTAAATTTCTCTTGGTTGACAAGTTCTACAATTCCTTAAGTTATTTTTTTTTAACCATGTAAATCTCAATGTGTTAATCCATCAACTGTATCAAGTCTGCTACACTAATGCAATATATTAATAGGGGAACCTGGGTGAGTAGTGATAGTGAGTTATATGAGCCTTCCATGTACATTCTACTCAATTTTCCTGTAAACCTCAAAGTGCTAAAAAAAAAAAAAGTCTTAATTTTTAAGAAGTCTATATGAATTTGGCTCAACTGCTTTTTAAGGTAAATCTTAAGTCTACAGTTCTATCAGCTTTCAAAGTGAACAAATTCATGGAGCCACTCTCCACCAAGATGTAAAATACACCAAAGCACCTCACAAGGATTTCTCATTTCTCCTCCCAGGCAATACTTCCCAGTGTTAACTGTTATTCTCACTTTTATCACTACAGACTGGTTATTTCTATTTTGAACTTCATTGAAGTTGAATTATATAGTATGTCCTCATTTTCATCTATCTTCTCTCAGTCAACATTTTGTCAGGAGATTCATCCATGCTGCTGTATTTCTGTGTAGTATTCCATTGTACAAACACCACTATTTTTATGATGCCTTGCTGGGTTATTTCTGGAATTGGAGTTATGAACATTCTTAAACATGTTTTGGTGATTACATGCACTCAGTATGTTGGATATATATATATATATAAAATTCCATAACTTTAAGATAAATGAGTTTAGCAAAGTTGCTGGATATATTATCAAAATATAAAACCCAACTGTACTCTAAATACCAGCAAAGTAGTAGAAACTAAAATGTGAAAAAAAAATGCTACTTATAAAAACATAAAAACTATCCAGGAGTAAATTTAACTTAGAAATAGAAAACCTCTATAAAGAAAGCTGCCAAATATTGTTGAGACATTAAAGAAACCTTCAATGAAAGACTATTTCATATTATTGTATTAGAAACCTTAATATTGTTAAGAGTCACAAAAATGCTCCATAGACTCAATGAAATTCCAGTCAATTTCCTTTGATATGAAAACACCAAAGAGTTACGCAGGAATAGAGCTCTACTATCTTTCTTACATAAAGATAAGTGACTGCCTTTGATTTTTACAAGAAACAGATAACAAATTTTTTTTTAACTAATAGGCATCATCCCAATTTTATAAATGAGAAATTAAGAACCAGAAAGAGATTAAGAAGAGACCTAAATTTAGGCCTTGGAATAAACCTGTATTTTTCCTTCTACATCATGCACACTCAAATGTAACTTCATTTGGAAGGAATAAAAAATAGACTGGTGAAAAACAAGAGCAAAATGATGTGTTTCTTCAGAGTAAAGGCATCAGGTGGATACCAAAAACAGGAGGATCTGCCAAGGAGAAAGGTTGTCTTTGTAAGACCAGTGGAAAACTAACTGCCATGCATTACTTCTGTTGCTATCCTTCAATAGAAAGAACTCTATGTCATTTTCTACTACCATTCGTTGGAAGTATAGGCACTGGTGAAGATACAAGAGTACTTCAAGTCTGTGGAGAAATGGAATGAAAAGAGAAGTTTATTTTGGTGCAAGAATTTTAAACCCATGAACAGTTTTTTCATTGTATGCATGGATTTCAATTTCTTTTGGATTTTTATTTACCTTCACTTTAATTAAAAGGCAGAGAGACAGAGATCTTCCTTCCCCTGGTTGAAAGTCAAGCCAAAGCCATGAGCCTAGAACTCAATATGGGTCTCCCAAATGGGAGGTAGGGACCCAGGTATCTGAGTCATCTGCTGCTTCCCAGGGTACACATTAGGAGGAAGCTGGAATCAGCAGCAGGGCCAGAACTTGAGCCAGGTACTCAGATATGAGACATATCAAACAGTGTTTTAACCACTGAGCCAACCATCCATTCTTCAAACATGTATTGCACCAAAATAAATTAATCTTTTAATTCTACATTCCATGGACTTTTTCCAGCACCCTCATCTTGCTCAACTGTAAATGGTGAAACACAGAGAAACAGGTTATAAAGAAAGGAAACAAGTGTGCTTTAGTGTGCTTGTAAATAAAGAAGGGGGTAGTAAATTGTCTTCGTGATGGTATTACAACTAATTCAAAGTGATCTAAAAATGAGAAATCTCTATATACTTACTACAAGACTGTATTCTTGAAAGTCCGTTTCCAGCTCCGTGTAGGCTTGAGTCAAAACTCTGACTGTTTCGCACAGTGACTGGAGAGCTCACATTGCTACTGACAGCCGTTGTACTTGGCATCCGGGCTAGATTAGGCATACTTCTCCGGAGCTTATCTGGAAGAGGAAAGAATTTCACTAAGTTAAAAACTGCCAGGCTGCCGAGGTGGGGCAGCAGGTAAAGGTGCTGCCTGTGACACTGGCAGCCCATACGGGCACCAGTTCATGTCCCAGATGCTCCAATTCTGATCCAGTTTCCTACTAATAGCCTGGGAAAAGCAGAGAAGATGGCCCAAGTACTTGGGCCCCTACCACCCATGTGGGAGACCTGGATAAAGCTCTTGCCTTTGGCCTGGCCATTGTGGCTATCTGGGGAGTGAATCCACAGATAGAAGTTTTTTCTCTCTGTATCCCTTCCAAATAAATCTTTTAAAAAAATACTATGCCAAATAAAACATTACCTTTTAGAAATCAAAAACTACATTTTGTTCAATAAAAAATGAAACTTCTAATGTGAGTCATGAATAAGCTAACAGTTATCCTCCTATATGAGAACCATTCCCCAACAAGAACAGTTCTATCCAATAGACTATTGTTAAAGAAATGTCCTACAGAGACTAGCGACAACTAGCTCATATTTGTTATTTTTAAAAGTTAGAAAGAAATCTTACTGCCATTTAATTCTTTTAGACTCTAGAAACTAAATTGCATACTTATTTAAAAAATTCTAAAAGAATCAAAACCAATACTTACCGATTCTTACTCTAGCCTATGAAAATGGAACAAACAGAATTCCAACTTGAGTTGGCCTAAGATATCCACTTATCACACATCAAGGAGACCACATTAACTCCTGGGAAATTAGTATGTTACCAGATATTTGGAGACAGACAAAAGGAATGCTGCAATTTCTTTCTCCTGGTTAAGTATATCTTCTGCCACCAAGGGGCAGCAGAGAGGCATACACAGATCTCGATGTCAAGATTGGCAATCAGCTGCAAGACTACTAGACAAGATAATCCTGCCTTTATTAACACACTCCTCCCCTAAATTAAAATACCTACATCAGGTCACTCAAGCTCAAAGAATAAAGGCCATATATGAATATTAAGCCAAAACTTGTTCAAGTATAAAACTGGATTCATTTCTTTTGCCCCTTCATGCTCTGCCACTCCTGTATTATTTACCCAGCTGTTCAGCAAGTCTGGGAAGTCTCCTAAGAGTTACCTTTCCTTTTCACACTAGACTATTCTGCCTTATAAATATGTAATGAATTTCCATTACCACCTCCTTCAGACCTCATCATTTATCACCCATATTCTCAAGATCCTCTTAACTGGTCTCTATACACCTGTCATGTTCCTTCAATCCATCATGCATACAGTCGGTTCCACTTTACCTGGAGTACAAACTCATCCCCTTGCTTACATCCCTCCAACTCCTATTTCGCCCCCTCACCTTCATCTGAAAGCCCAAACTCCTGAGCATGACCTGGCTAAGGCCCTCAAGGTAAGGCTATGGCTCTAGCTTTATCCCCTGTCACCCCTCAACTGCTGCCACTCAGCTGTACAATAACAATAGGGGGTATCTTCTTGTACCCATGAGCACGATGGTCCTTCCACTTGGACACTCTTTCCCAATCTGTAGAAGGAATGAAAGAACAAAGGAAGTACTACTTACTGTGCATGTACTAATTAAGATGTTGGAGACACTACATGGTACATACCTGCTGTAGTGAATGTATATACACAAACATACACACACGCACTCTAAATGTTAGAGATGCTATAGTATATAACACAGGTATAGTCCCAAGAGTACTGTACTTAGAGTCTAGACTGTGTTTCTCAATCTTCTCTTTCCATTACTGATCCTAAGGAGAAAAACTAAAATTTAAACTTTAAATTAAGTTTAGTATTTCTCAAATGAAAGAAATAAAGATTAAAGAACATTCTGAAAGATAATGTTGGACTCTGGAGGATCACAAATCACTGTAATATCTAATATTTTCTTCTGCTTCTCCAAGTCTATAAAATATTTTTATCTTTTAATATATATACCCCAAGACACTGAAATAACAAATGAGGACATTCAAGACATGGTCTTTTTCTTTCAAGCAAAATCAGAAAAGTTATATACTGGAATACTAATTCAGAATGCATTCAAGGGCAAAGCTAAATCCTCCTTCTCCCCACCACCTACTGTCCTTGTTCTATTATACTTAGTCCCATTAGTTGCCGTCCTATCCAGCAATTTTCACCCCTTTGCAGTGGTCTAGGGAAGGCAAAAATTAGACAAGTATAATACATGTACTTACATAACAAGTATAAGAATTTGTAGAGAGCTATGATAGAAGACCAGAAAAAAGTATTCTTTCCACTATGCTAACTCCTACTCATGTTAAAACTTCTATTGTGGTGATTCTTTCTATATAAATTATGGCTGAGGTATCTACAATTCACACATTTCCATACTCTCTGCATATTCCCAGAATAGTAACACTCCAATACTGTTACTATTAGATAGATTTCTTAACTATTTTCCTCATTACAGTGGTTGTCCCCTCTTATCCACCAGGGATGTTTCAAGATAACCAGGGGATGAATGAAATCAGAGCTAGAGACAAACTCTATACGTGGATATGAGGGAGTCTTCAAGAAGCTCACAGAAAATGCTTAGTATGAGATGCACGCATGAATTTCAGAACTGCATGTACCAAAATTAACTCACACTGACTTACTAGAACATGTCTGAAAAGGATCTAGTTTGAGGCTCCAAGAAGGGTAAGAGGGTTTAAAAAGATCAGAGCAACAAAACTCCTGCTAAAATTGAGCAAGATTAAACATCAAATCTATGGTGAAGCTTGGGTAGAAGCATGGAGAATCACTAATGCTAGATCAACAAAAAAAATGCCCCAAAAATCAGCAATTTACAATTGGATAACTCAGCCTAAGATAAGACAAGACAACACTGAAGGTGAAACCCACAGATCATTTCCATCAATTTAAGAAAAATAAAACTTGCCTCTGCCCTAATTGAAAAGGACTGGTAAGTAACAGCAGAAATAATAACCAACACCACAGGCATTGCAATTGTTTCAGCTAACACTATTTTCACTAGAAAACCAAAACAGCAAATTTTTTGCTCCATGGAGGCCAAAATTGTTGTGCCCAGATCAGCTGCAGACAAGAGCAAAGCCTTCAATGTAAGTTAACAACACATGGAATCAATGTCAGGAAATCTTTCTTCCAAAAATTATAATAGGAGCAGAAATTGAGCATGGCCAGTACAATCCTGAAATCAAAACAGAATCAAAGCAAAGGACAGCAAGAGGTGGAAGCAGTCTGATCAAAGCAAAAGCAAACCCCACGGATCAGGAGCACAAGTCCTGGCAGAAGTGTTCTGGAATTCTCACAGCTTTCTGCTTGTTAGCTTTGAGATGAACAATTTATTAGGAGCATGTTTTGAGAAATTAGCCAATGCTTTAGCAGAACACTGCCCAGGAAAGTTTTACCAAAAAAGGCTCCACAACAATGCTCCTGTTCCTTCCTCTCAAACAAGGGAATTTTTCAGGAGTTTTAATGTAAAATCATTAAGAAATCATCTCCTAAATTTATAGTCCTGATTTGACTGACTTGTTAACTAATCTTTTAAAAAAAAAAAAAAACCGTAAAGGGCTCTCATTTTTTTCAATTAATAATATAACAAAGACTACACTTAGATGGTTTAATTTCCCAAGACATAGTTCTTTAGAGATGGAGTAAATGATGGTATTATCACTGACAAAATATCTTGAACTTAACAGATTATGTTGAGAAATAAAGTTTAAATTTTTATCTTTTAATTTCATTTCCCCATAAACTGAAGTCCCTTCATATGCTATATTTTATATACATAAAGTTTAATTTACAAATAGGCATGATAGGAGATTAACAATAAAGTGGAACTATAACAATATCCTATCATTAAAGCTATTTAAGATTTATGAAATTTTTTCTGGAATTTTCCCAGTTACTATTTTTGGACCACAGTTGACTGTGTAACTGAAATGCTGGAAAACGAAACAGGGGAATACTGTGTCTCTTTGAGATCTATCCTTCATAATCATGTTTCATGTTCCCAATTTCCTACTAAAGTTCCTATTTTCAGGCAGCAGATATTTAATACATTCAATAAATATTATGCATGCATGTATTGGCAGAGGGTGCGTAGAAGAATTATAAGAAAACAGATAGTCTTACAGCCTACATCTAGATCCTGAGTTTAACAAAAACTGGTGTGAAAAAGTGAACCTAAGTGAGTATGAGAATAAATTACCTTCATTATGTGTACTTTTAAGCAGCAAGAAGGCAGACAGACATTAACTGCTATTAATTTTAAAAATTGAGCTTTCTCTCCAATTGTTTACTATAAAAGTTTATATATTATATATATTTATATATATATAGTGTGTGTGTATATATATAGGGGGGGGGGAGGGAGAGAGGGAGAGAGAGAGAGAGAGAATGTTGAAAATAGTGTCATGAACACCTGTATGCTTTTCACATACATCTACCAGTTGGTTATTTCCTGTTGCCAAATTTAATTCATCCAAATGTACACATTTGTTTTCTTTAAATAATATAAAGGATAAAGACATCTTAACACTTTAAAAGTATGTGGATTTCCTAAAAATAAGGAAAGTTTGGTAGAATTATATCATCTTCACATATAAATTGAGTATCATAATCCATAAAAATTTTTCCAAATTTTTCCAATTTGTTTCAAGAATGTCTTCCATAAATTTCCTGCCCAAGCACAATCCAGTCAAGGTTCATGTATTATACTGGGTTGCTATGTCTCTAATCTTAATGTGCATGCATCAGCCTCTAAAACCAAACTTTCTAAGCACCAAGTCAACTTCAAAGTTTTAATTCTGAAATCTGCTCTGAAAAATAAAGTTTTGCAAATGTAAATATTTAGGACAAGATTCCTCTGGGAGCTAAACTGTAATCTCATTGTCCCAGACCATCTAAAAAAGAAGTACACTTACTGTCATACAATTCAAAATGTATTAATAAACACATATCTTAAAGTTCATAGAATCAAAAGTAATGAATTATTTCTGTTGTCAGAAAGATCAGTTTTCAAGGACTGACATGCAACATGAAACTAGAGGAATAGACTGAAGATTTTACATGAGTTGGTAAATAAAGGGAAGCTTTAGGAACAAAAGAGCCAACAGCTAGATCTAGCTACTGACAAATCCAGCCACACCCTAGAAACTACAAGAAGATTGTACAAGATTTAGTCATTTTTGATATCTGACAAAGTATCCTAAACATGCTCCTCTTAATCTGAGGACTCTCAGAAATATGTCAACAACTGTAATGAGCCATCTCTTTTGCTTACAGCCAAGTTAGCTACAATGAAAGCAGTCAATAAACATATGTGGACCTTATTTTCAATTATTTTAAACAGATCAATGAATTAACAACTATTTTCTCCTATCTGTATTATTGAGACAATTTAGAAAAAATATTAGATAAATAGTTCAACATTACCATTCTTATTCACAACTTTGTCCCAATGACATTTTGTGGCAACAAATGAAAGTTTGGGTATTTGAACCATATGTTAAGTTTAACAGAAAAACGACATGGAATGGGGGAACAACTTTTATTCAGTACATCCACCCCGTACAATGTAACATTCAGTATTTCATTTGTTCCTTGTACTTAGGTTGGGAGAATGCAGACTAGATAGTTCGGAGTAAAATTATACCTGTGTTCTAAGCAATAGGTATTATTTTTTCACATTTTACAGATAAATAAACCAAAGCTTACAGACCTGAGAAACTTCCATGTGAAAGGCTGAATGACAGGAGATGACTGGAACTCGGGGGCTTTTGGACCCCAGAGCCTGTGCTCTCCATCACTGAGCGAGTCAGTCAGAAGTGATGTCCAGGGGACTGCCACTGTGGCACAGTGGGTTAAGCCACCACCTGTCCAGTAGGAATGCCAGTTCAACTCCCAGCCGCTCCACTTCCAGTTCAGCTCTCTGCTGAGCCTGAGAAGGCAGCGGAAGATGGCCCGAGTTTTAAGGCCCCTGCCACCTACATGGGGGACCTGGATGGAGTTCCAGGCTCCTGGCTGCAGCCTGACCCAACCCCATCTGTTGTGTTCATTGGGGGAGTGAGCCAGTGTATCGAAGACATTCTCTCTCTCTCTCTCTCAGTAAACAGATAAATCTTTAAAAAAAAAAAAAAATTTATGTATTACTTGAAAGTCAGAGTTACACAGAGAGAGAAGGAGAGTCAGAGAGAGAGAGAGAGGTCTTCCGTCTGCTGGTTCACTACCCAGATGGCAGCAATGGCTGGACCTGTGCCAATCCGAAGCCAGGAGCCTCCTCTGGGTCTCCCACGCGGGTGCAAGGGCCCAAGGACTTGGGCCATCTTGTATTGCTTTTCCAGGCCACAGCAGAGAGCTGGATCAGAAGTGGAGCAGCTGGGACTTGAACCAGCACCCATTATGGGAGGCCAGCACTGCAGGCGGCAGCTTTACCCGCTATGCCACAGCGCCAGCCCCAACAGACTCATCTTTTAACAAAATAAAATTATATTCAGAAACTGCCTCTGTATGCTATTATTCTTTGAGCACAGAGGCCAAACTAAACCTATCACAAATGGACCCTGCTCTGTGGAATGTCTCCAATTTCCTATAAGAACTATCATGCACAGGTTTCAGGGAAACCTAATCTTTTACAAAATAGAGTCTAATAATTGAACACCACTTTTCTAAGGTGTGACCAACAGTAAAGAGGAAAAGGATCCCACTGAGGACACTAATCTGAATGCAGAACTAGCGTCTTCAACAATGTAACTGAGAGGTCCTCAAACACCTGATTGAAACAACTTCAGAGAAAGCGCTCTCTCTCCATTCAGTATGATGATGCTATGATTTCACTGTGGTCCTGGAATACAGCATATTTCTAATACGATGAGCCTTCACATGTTAGTGACCATGACATTCTTTAGCTACCACTCTTAAGCTTTAAACCTGGAAACACATACACACATGAAAAAATTGTGAGTATGAAACGTTAAATATTTTCAATTCATCTCTCAATTATCATAAGAGCACAGAGGAAGACAAAAACTAAAACTGTAGTAACTGATAACTAATACAATTTGAATTTGGCCTTGAAATATTTTTAAATATCCTTTTGGATCATTTCTTGGCCCAGCTTTGACCACCATTTGACAAATGGTGCTATATAATTTAAAATTATAACTGTAAGATACAAATTACATTTTAGTGGCTTGTATGAGATGGGATTTGTGAGTAAGGATTTGGCTGATCACTAGAATAAAAATATAATGGACTTAGAATTCTACAGGATTTATCTCTATAGCTCTTGGAAGCAAAGGAGTTTTGTTTTGGGGAGTGGGGGAGGATAACATGAAGAGGAAGATGGGAAAAATATGAAACACTGACACAATCCAATCCATTATGTTTATATTAAAACCAGTCAAATTCCTATCACTATGTTCCTACTCTTACCTCGATCTTAATTCTAGATGACAGGAAGTCACAGAGAAATATACATCCCACACTTCCCTTAAATCTGGATGTGCAAGACAGCATCCTCTCCAATCCTCACTTGGCAACACTCTGTGCTAGGAACAGGCAGCAGGGGGTGCAAGTCTGCACGAATGGGGAGATGCAACTCACAGCCTGGGCCTCCACAGGCTCCACCATGAACTCCTCAGTCTATACCATCCCACTTGTGCTACAGCTGTGCCACCAACAACTAAGGATGCCCCCTACTCATTGAGCCTGCTAAATCAAAGGAGTATTCCTGAAGTTGTGTGTGTGTGTGTGTGTGTGTGTGTGTGTGTGTCTCAAACATGTCATCAGAAGCAAGTCAGTTATAGAGGAACCAAACAGATGAAGTCTTCAGGATGAACTTAACCACAAACACTTACCAAATATTTACAGGAATCTTCAAACCACATCTTGGCCACATTCAAAAGATCAATGTATACCAAATACCAAAAGGGGCACACTACCTACCTCCATTGGTCCTATTTGGTTGCTGATCTGGAGTTTGGGCTTGAGGTGAATAATACTGTTGCTGCTGGTAATTATTTGAAGGAAAATACTGGGAACTGGGGCTCCTCCTACACTCCCGAATGCTGGAGAAAGTCTGTGAGTGAGGAATTCCTCTTTGGAAAGGTGAACATCTCGGAAGACGAGGCTGAGGTGGTGGCAAATGGTCAAATTCTTCTTCATCCTCCAGACTGTATCGGTCATATTCTTGATCACTACTTGTCCCCTTTTTTCCTGAACTCAGTGACACACTGGAACTATGTCTTGACACAGATGCTGAAGTAGAAGCATAATCTTGCCTGAGACCTATAGAATAGCAAACAGTTTTATTTATTTATCTACTTATTTATAAGGCAGAATTATAAAGAGAAAGGGAGAGACGACAGAGACATCTTCCACTTGCTGGTTTATACCCCAAATGACTGCTACTGCAGGAGCTGGGACGATCCAAAGCCAGGAACCAGGAGCTTCCTCCAGGTCTCCCATGTGGATGCAGGGGCCCCAAACACTTGGACTATCCTCTGCTGCCCTCCCAAGCACATTAGCAGGGAGCTGGACTGGAAGTGGTGAGCAGCCAGGACTTGAATCAGTGCCCATAGGGGATGCCAGCATTGCAGGTGGTAGCTTCACCCCCTATGCCACAACACCAGACCCAGTAATATTATCTTACAAGGTTGTTCAATCTAGCTAATGTTAAAATTATAATTAAATATTTGATGAAAATGTGTGCCTCACAAATCATTCCATTACTCATTATCTTGTTCTTTTATTATTATTTACCTATCAGACATCTAATATTAGACAATTCTGTTTGCAAAAAGATTGTCCCAATTACAGTGAAGATTAAATATACTTATTATAGCTCAGCAGTCGGTATCTATCAGTTTCTCCTCACAAACAAACCCTTGTCAAATCTGGAGACATTTAGGGACAGAACTTAAGAATTAACCATCATCATGCATAGTTTGCTAGGAATTAAAACAAAAATAATCAAATCTTGTTCATATAGAAAGTCAGTCTACCCTCCATCCCCAGCTTTCAAAGTCAAAGAGAAAGGTACAAACATTTTCTAACAAGGTCATCTCTTTTTTGTTCATTTTTTTACTAACATTACCTCTTTCAAAGCACACTGATGCTTCAGTACTTCAATGGTTTTAGGCCACACCATCTAAAAATACTGAAAGTTTCTTGCTATTTGACTCACTGGAAAAACCACAATTTTCTTAAAGTAGTCTATTCCTGATTATTTAACTTCTGAAACTGACATCCTATCTCCTAGCCATATATTTTTATAATGAGCACATACAGTTACTGTTATAAAATAACTTTTTCCCTCAAAATGTAGTTTATTAAATCCTGCATAAGCATTGTTTCTCATTATAGCCTTGACTAATTCTGAAAGCAGGAAATTATGCTTAAATTATAGTTGGCTGTTTCCACTTAAATTGACCTAAAAAGGTAATCCCAAAACAAGCTTACCCCAGTGCTGTGATCTTTATCATATTGTCCCTTTTCATGCAATTAGTGACCTTCAAGTAGCTTACTTTCAGATTATCTTTGTAATTTTATTGCACAACCAGCAGTGAACCATCCCATTTCCAAGTATCTCCATTTCCACAATTATTTGCATTTTTTCAATAAACTGAGCTTGGCTTTGGCACCAGCCATGATAGGAATTTGGGGGATGAACTGGCAGATAGCTCACTTGGTCTCTTTTGCTTTATGTGTCCAAGTGTGTATGTGTGTCTTTCTTTACCTCTCAAACTTTTTTTTAGATAATACTGTATACTTTGAACTGTTTCTCCCAATGATAATATTTTTCAAAATTACAGAACATGACAGCCAGGGTTTTGATGGTGATATATAATCCCTCTACCTTATTCAGCTACTTCCCTCTTACACTCATGTGTGTTAGTATCAAGTTCTTTTGTAGTCTTATTACCTCCAAATTTATCATCTCCCAGACAGAACAATAAACAGTTCCAACACCACAAAAATCTCATGCTGCCCTCTGGTAACCACATCCACCATTCTCTCCCCCTAACAACACCCCATGTCAATCCCAACCACTAACCTATCATCCAATTCTATAATGTTGTCATTTCAAAATGTCTTATAATTGCAATTGTACAATGTTCAATCTCTTATGATCAGTTTCCTTCACTCATGGTCTCCTGGAGCTTCATCTGAGATGTCTCATGGATCAATACTCTGTTCCTTTTCACCACCGAGGAGCACCCACTATGGTATGAATGATAGTTTAACCATTGACCTGTTGAAGGACATCTAAGCTAGTGCTTCTTTGGGGTTATGCTTCTTTGGGGTTATGCTAAGAACGTACATAGGAAGGATTTTGTGTGAACCCCAATTTCCAGTGTTCTGGGCTAAATGCCCCAGAGTGCAATTTGCAGGACCAAATCTAAGTTGCATGTTCAGCATTTTAGGAAACTGCCAATCTGTTTCCATGGTGGTCATACCCATAAGCTCTCTATATAAATGCATTAAGATCAGCAAACATCCTAACACTGATTTCTCATGTGTGTAAGATGCATATAACTTCCCTACCTACAAGGTGGAATGAGATAAAGTATCCAATTGTTTGCCTGCTACCCGAGGAGAAATGGCTGAACCTCTCCCTACATACACAGCATTTCAAGTGGGAGCCTCACTTTTCAAGTTTAAAAAGGAGAACGTACTTTCTTCTTGCAGACGAGCCATGATTTGAACATCAGTGAGGTCCTGTAATTTATAACCCATGGAAATCGAATCATCCTCCAGTTCCGAAGTACTCAGCTCACTATCAATGGATGACTGAGGACTGAGAGGGGAGCCTCTGGAAGTATAACCTAGAATGCAAAGGAAATACACTTTATTAGTCTAAAGAACTGATATGTACAAATGCTTTACAATTCCTGTCTACATATATATATAAACATTAAGCAATTTTACCTGTTTTCACAATGTCACAAAATAAAGAACCCATCACCATTTCATGGTTAGACGAAAAGCGCAACTTCACATGTTGATTCCTATACCAAAACCTTTTGTCCACTGTCTTCAAATTCAATTTGCACAATTGAAAAAAAAAAAAAAAGTCCCTCTATGTTATAGACTGGAAAATTCTTTAAGAAAGTAGATTTCATGTTTTTTTTAATCACAATAAAACTTCACATATGCTAAAATCTGTATCCCATCAGACGAGGTATATATCTAAAAGGCATGGCACAAGAATACATACCCATGTGTACTTTTAATAATAATCAGACATACTTGTCTCTGACCATAACTGATACAGCTCTTGAAGTTTCATCCAGCCCATTCTTTAATGGGTACAAACAATAGTGCTGACAGAAATATCATACATAAGAGACACATGTACATGCAGAGAGCATATACAAAACCTTCATTTAGATCACTATATACTCACAGGAGACTTGCAGTCACCCATGAAAGTGCAACAGAAAAAAATGGCTTTAGATACAAGAACTGTGGAAGAAAGGGTCCAAATGGAAGGTGGTTGAGAATCACACCAGTGCTGGAATAGGTAAGAAATTTTAAGCCCCTCATCCCATAAAGACACTATGACTACATTTTTTCAATATAGCCTTGGCTTTGAAAGCTACCACAAAACTTTTTTCTAAGATAATATATAAAGGCTTACAATCTTGAGTCACAATAAAAATTACTAAATTGTGTCTGAAATTTTTTAAAAGTACACAAGGCATTTGGAAACATGAACTCCCTAAGTAAGCTTTTGCTGAAGAGAGAAGACAGCCTACTACAAAACTGAGAGCAATAGATCAATGCCAGATCTTGTACCCAAAGTGGGCATGTGGTACAAACTCACCATTAGAATCACATTACCCCGTAGCTTTTCAGTGAGAGACGGATAGTTAAGCAGTGTTAAGCGACTGAAATACAAAGCAAGCAGCTAGTCAAGAGCTGAAATATTACCTGTTCTCTCGGGTGTTAGTATTGCCTTATTGGAGGTTTTAGAGAAGCTGGGAGTATTAATGCCATTGCTATAAGGGCTGAGTCTTGCAACAGGACTATAAGGAAAGGGCAGTGAGGCAGTTGAGGAGAAGAGACTCCGCCATCGGCTTGCTGTCACAGAGCAGAAAACAGCAGTAGTTAGCTAAGCAGAAGCAGGTGCCCACTCCACAAGACAAAGGGAAGAGACTGGCAACAAACAAGACAAGACAAAGCAACTTTCCATAACAATATCCTAGCTGACTTCATTTCTCTAAGAAAAAAAAATACATAAAAACAAGCAATTTGTGAACTAGGCTCTTATTTACACATTCATTAAGAAAAAGTAAACCCATTAAGAGAAAATAAGTCAATTGCACTTTCAAAGCAGTATAAAAATGGAAATTTTGATTTATGCATTAGAAATGTTTTCTTTTTCTGAAATGCTTTGTAATATAAAAGGTTAGTGTCAAAAGAAAAAACTCAAAGAAACTAATCTTTAGCAATTGTCGGAAATGTTACTATTTTAACTATTCAGTCTTATTTTTCTTCACTTAATATCAGAAAATGCTGAGACTGGTGCTTTGGCATAGCTGGTTAAGCTGCTGCCTGCAATGTCGGCATCCCATTGACGCCAGTTTGAACCTCAACTGCTCCACTTCTGATCCAGCTCCCTGATAATGTGCCTGGGAAATCAGTGGAAGATAGCCCAAATGCTTGGCCCTGAACCCATGGGAGACACAGAAGAAGCTCCTGGCTTTGGTCTGGCCTAGCCCCTGCAGCCATTTGGAAAGTGAACCAGCAGATCAAAGAGCTCTCTCTAAATTTGTCTTTCAAACAAGTAAAATAAGCCTAAAGAAACAATTGATCAAAAATCTTTTATGTAAATTTGTTCTTGGATTATGGGAGAAATCTAAAATTATTATTGTAATATGTAACAACAGTCTGTAAAACAGAAGGGCATCTATACCATAACTTCATGATAGTCATTAGATGGCAGCTGTAGAGATTACTGGTAATCTTGAATATTTTTCAAAAATGTGCAAATTTCCACATTGAACACACTTACATAGCTTTTAACAGAATTGTACATATTAAATACTATTTTGACATTGATTTAAAAAAGGAATTGTACTAACAGTATGATCTAATTCATATATTAACTTGACTGTTCTAAGTAATATACTTCCCCCTTCCAATATTACCATCTTCTTGATATCTGAGTTCTTTTTTTTTTTTTTTTTTTTTTTTTTGACAGGCAGAGTGGACAGTGAGAGAGAGAGACAGAGAGAGAAAGGTCTTCCTTTGCCGTTGGTTCACCCTCCAATGGCCGCCGCTGCAGCCGGCGCACCGCGCTGATCCGATGGCAGGAGCCAGGATCCAGGTGCTTTTCCTGGTCTCCCATGGGGTGCAGGGCCCAAGCACCTGGGCCATCCTCCACTGCACTCCCTGGCCATAGCAGAGAGCTGGCCTGGAAGAGGGGCAACCGGGACAGAATCTGGCGCCCCGACCGGGACTAGAACCCGGTGTGCCGGCGCCGCAAGGCAGAGGATTAGCCTATTGAGCCACGGCGCCGGCCCGATATCTGAGTTCTTAGGATCACAAAAAAGGATCCCAAGTCATAAAAACTTGAGTAAATCACAACAATGTGACTTACTGTCCGTTCTCAGAATATAAGTCACTGGGCTACTCAAAATCCGTTTCTCAGAAAAGCAATCTGGAAAGCAGGACATAGGGAACAGACTAAGAATGTAAAATAGCTTAAACTTCAATCACTTTGTTTATATTTGCTAGAAATTTGACAAAAATTGAAAAACTGTTAAATAAAAAAAAGCTGCTTTGAAAAGCATCCCCCACATTACTTTCAATGAGCAATACAATGAGCACTCAACCAGCTCATAGGTGCATACCAATGAGTAGTGGGACACGAATTAGCAAGAGTCATTAACTCCAAAGCTGGATTCTTAAAATCCTTGAAAAATATCAAGGTAATATAAAAGAGCAAAAAATGTTTCCTTTTACTTCAACAAGATTTCTTAAGATAAAAACCAATGCATTCCAACAATTACATATGAGAAAACATTTTATGTTAGTAAAAGAACAATGCAACTACATTCACAGCAGTAATGTTTATAATCCATATGTTTTGGAAGGAGACATTGCCATGAAGTCCAGTTCCCAACTGACACCAGTCACAGACATCCCTTATCCAACATGTAATCTACTATGGTTGTACAGCTCTCCAACCTGAGCCCCAGCATACTCCCAGTTCCTTCATTTCCACGTAGCCTAACACAACTCCACAGCACACTGCAAAACAGGGTTAATATGCACACTCTTAGATATTTCATGTCTATCATTCAGAATTTCTCATGAAAAATTCTATTGTTTTATTTCAAAAGGTCAATAGTCCTTTGTGACTGCTAACTAACTTAACAGATGATGCTATTTTATGGCAGTCTGATCACTTGCCAGGCAAATTACAGCGACTGTGTGTTCTCACCCACAGATGCAGGCGACAACGCATCCCAAGTAAACAGCATTCATTACTCCGCACAATAACTACTGTGACCCAGCCTTCTAGCACAATGACACAGTTATTGTGGCTATGACAGCGAGATCCCAACTGAGAACACAATTAGCATCTATTGCAACAAAGAATGTTCTACATTGTTCTCTGGCATTGAAGCTGTGAAGCAGGGGGAGGAGAATTATTGTACAGGCACGCTAACAAAACAAGGATGCCCTATTAGTGGCTGAGGTTGCAGTGCTGGGAGTTGGGGGAGGAGCGGAAGCCATTGCATCCTAGATATTCTTCACTATGTAGCTAAAGAATTTTATCAGGAAGCATTTTTATAAGGAATGAAAAATAACTTACTGAAAGGATAACTGATTCTTAATTTTTCTAAAAAAAATTCGTCATATAATGTGAAATTATTTGAGAGATTTAATGATGACCAAAATGACCCCAGAAAAAAGACAATTTTACCAAAGGAGAAAATGAATGACAAATTTCTGTATAATCACAGTTAAATTTTCCTATATTTCTATCCCAAGTTCCATCTGTAAGAAAAAGGCCCTCTTTGAAATGGCATGGACTACGTATTTTTTTTTAACTTAATTCCAATCCCAATCCCTAGAAGCATGAGACACAATGATTTGTCGATTAAACATATCACACTTAACTTGGCAAGGTTTTCTTTCTCAAGCGCCTTAACCCATACTACTTCCCAGAACACATCTGTCTGATGCTCTCTATACTCCAACTCCCTTAATCCAGACCGTCATTACCTTACCGCAAACCTATTCACCAAATTGTCGGTCACCAGCTTGGTCCTTAGCAAGCCTCTTCTGAAGATCCCAAGTTTCTACTGAAGTTGGACATGATTTTAGCTGCAATTACCATTGTTAATTAAAGTATTGTAGTGGCTTTTCATTAATATAAGGTCTTAAAGGTCCTTCAGATCATCTCACTACTGCCACGCTTATCCACAACCATGAGTCTCATTCATGCTCACTTCTCAAATATTTCTATGGTGACCCTGTTTGGTTAAACTTTTACTTTGCCTCTCTTGTCTAATGGGCATTATCCACTGACAACAATGTGATAAAGTACTAAGTTGTACACTGATATCTCATCTTTCTGCAAAAAAGAGTACAAAATGGCCCATTATTTTCATACATCTATAAAGTTGCCCAACTTAATAAATTAAAAAATACCTATTATACATAACAAAAAAAAAACAGATTTGATAAATGTGCCAGTGATAATATCAATAAAATCACTAGAACAAAGGTGACGTGATGGGTTTAAGAACGTAACTCTCCAGACGTCACTGTTTTGGCACAGTGAGGTAAGCCATCAATTGCAATGCCAGTATCCCATATCAAAGTGCCAGTTAGAGTCTCAGCCACTCTGCTTCCAAACTAGCTACCTGCTGATACACTTTGGAAGAGAGGGGAAATGGTCCAAAGGACTTGGGCCCCTGCAGCTCACATGGGAGACCTAGGCAGAGTTCTGGGCTCCTGGCTTCAGCCTGAACCAGCCTCCATCTTTGTAGCCATTTGGGGAGTGAACCAGCAGACAGAAGATCTATCTGTCTATGTGTGTGGGGGGGGGGGGTATTTATGACTTTGCCTCTCAAATAAATCAATAAATCTGATTCTTTTTAAAGGACCTAGCTTTAATTCTCCACACTGAAATTTACTTTGTTGACAAAGTTCCCACAATGACATTCCTACCATCTCTTGATCATCTTTGCCTAGACTCATAGTAAATACATGAAAATTTACATTTGTTGAACATCTCTTTCCACATAACCAAAATCAAATTTAAGAAAGCCACATGACTTAATTCACATAAAGGGAAAAAGCCACAACCTATTAAAATATTAGTGAGAAATTCATATGGAGACATGAGACCCCCAAATTGCTAAAGCAATCTTACACAACAAAAACAAAGCCAAAGGCATCACAATACCATATTTCAAAACATACTACAGGGCAGTTATAATCAAAACAGCCTGATACTGGCAAAAAAAAAAAAAAAAAGAGAGAGAGAGAGAGAAGAAAAAAACAGATGGGTAGACTAATGCAACAAAATAGAAACTCCAGAAAACAATCCACACATCTACAACCAACTTATCTTTGACAAAGGAGCCAAAATCAATCCCCGGAGCAAAGACAGTCTCTTCAACAAATGATGCTGGGTAAACTGGATCTCTCTGTGCAGAAGTCTGAAGCAAGAACCCTACCTTACACCTTACACAAAAATCCACTCAAAATGAATTAAAGACCTAAATCTACAACCTAATACCACCAATTTACTAGAGAACATTGTGGAAACCCTGCAAGACATTGGCATAGGAAAAGACATCTTGGAAAAGACCCCAGATGCACAGGTAATCAAAGCCCAAACTGACAAATGGGATTACACCAAATTGAGAAGCTTCTGTACTGCAAAAGAAACACCCAGCAAAGCCAAGAGACAACTGACAAAATGGGAGGAATTATTTGTAAGCTACACAACTGATAAAGGATTCATATCTAGAATCATAAAGAACTCAAGAAAATCAGCAACAACTAAACAAATAATCCAATTAAGAAATGGGCAAAGGATTAAACAGGCATTTTTC